TTGACCATTTATCAATTGGGGAATGACCTGTATTCTTATAAATTTGACTTGGTTCTCTATATATTTTAGAAATGAGGCCTTTATCACAGATACTTCGTAAAAATTCTTTCCCAATTTTCTGCTTCCCTCCTAATCTTGGTTGCATTGGCTTTGTTTGCACAAAAACTTTTCAATTCAATGTAATCAAAATTGTCCATTTTACATATTATAATGTTCTCTATCTCTTGTTTGGTCATTAAGTTCTTCCATTCTCCATAAATCTGACAGGTACACTATTCCTTGCTCTCCAGTTTGCTTATAGTATCAGCCTTTATATCTAAATCATGGACCCATTTTAACTTTATTTTGGCGTGCAGTGTAAGATGGTGGTCTATGCCCAGTTTCTGCCATACCACTTTCCAGTTTTCCCAGCAGTTTTTGTCCAATAGTGAGTTCTTATCCCAGAAGTTGGGATCTTTGGGTTAATCAAACAGTACATTACTATAGTCATTGATTACTGTGTCTTGTGTATCTAACCTATTCCATTGATCCACTGCTCTATTTCTTAGCCAGTACCAACTAGTTTTGATAATTGCTGCTTTTTAATATAATTTAAGATCTGGTACAGCTAGGCCACTTTCCCTAACATTTCTTTTCATTAATTCCTTTAATATTCTTAAACTTTTGTTTTTCCAAATGAATTTTATTTTTTCTAGATATATAAAATACTTTTTTGGTAGTTTGGTATAGCACTGAATAAGTAAATTAATTTAGGTAGGATTGTCATTTTAATTATATTAGCTCTGCCTATCCATGAGCAACTGATGTTTTTCCAGTTATTTAGATCTGCTGAGTCCACATTTGAACCCATGTCTTCCTGAGTCCTGGGTCCCAGGTTCTATCTGCTGCACCACCTAGTTGCTACAACCTTCCAAGGCTGGAAATATTGACAGAACCCTATCAAGGAGATAGGCTCAGTCATCTATACAATGTGGGCGCTGGACCAGATGACCTCTAGGGGGACTTTCAGCTCTATATCTATTACCCTATGGTGCTATGATCTCAATAAGATGTTAACGGATATGTCCATACCTTCAATGTTTATTCAGTCATTTTAGTTGTGGCTGTCTTTTTGTGGGATTTTCTTGGCAAAGACACTGGTGTGATTTGCCATTTCCTTCCTCAGCTCATTTTACAGATGAGGAAACTAAGGCAAACAGAGTGACATGATTTACTCAGGGTCACCTAGCTAGTAAGTATCTGAAGCCTGATTTGAACTCAGGCCTTCCTGGCACCAGGCTCAGCACTCTCCCACTGTGCCACCTAACTTCCATAGGGAGATGCAATCAGTGTACCTGCCCCTAGTGTTCTGATTTTTTAAAAAGAGGAAAGGATGGAATCTCTAAACCAGAAGCCAGTGAATTTGATTTGCCATCTAAATCTGACAAAATTCTAGAATATTATTAAAGGAATAGTTTGTGACCATTAAGAAAGGGAATTGATAGGGGCAGCTCGGTGGCCTAGTCGATAGAGCACTGGCCCTGAAGTCAGGAAGACTTGAATTCAAATCCGACCTCAGACCAAACATTTGACACTTACTAGCTGTATGACCTTGGGCAAGTCACTTAACCCCAATTGCCTTTTTTAAAAAAAGGGAATTGTTTATCACAAAGGCCATCACTCATACAATCAAAGTACCTAGAATGGTGTGAATCCATTAAAAACAGAACGGGTAAGGGTTATTCTTTTCTTTTGTAAAGAGGGCAGCAATTTCATTTTGGCAGTAAAATAGGATAAGAGTTGTCAACTAAACCCAGACCCTTCTGGTGCTGCTTCTCAAGTGAGATTTTCATGGATCAAAACTAGCATGACAGGAGTGAGAAAACATTGAAAGGAATTTTCTAACCCCAAGTGATACTGTGGATTAGGGTCAGGGATTAATAAGAAAAAATGAAACAAAGTCATTTTAAAAGACAAGCTTAAATGCTTAAAGATTTTATCATTAAAGAGTTGAAATAGCACCTGGAGCTGTTATTTAAGGAGCTATTAGACATCCCAACACACATACACATGTGCAGAGGGCGGAGAAGAATTTCAATAGCAGGTGAAAACCAGCAGATGGCAGCGAAGAGCAGCATCAGCTTAGTATAGACACCCAGCAGAGGGCACTAGAGCGTAGATTAGTGGAGATGCCCACAGAGCTGTGTGGCACAGAACAGGGGAGGGGAGGGGAGGGAAGGGGAGGGGAGGGGAGGGGAGGGAAAGGGAGGGGAGGAGAGGGGGGGAAGGGAGAAGGGGGGAAGGGGAGGAGAGGGGGGAGGGGAGACAGTGACAGAGAGACAGAGACAAAGCGAGACAAAGAGAGAGACAAAGAAAGACGGGGGAGAGAGAGAGGAGAGAGAAGAGGAGAGAGAGAGAGAGAGAGAGAGAGAGAGAGACAGAGAGAGAGAGAGAGAGAGAGACAGAGAGAGAGAGAGAGAGAGAGAGAGAGAGAGAGAGAGAGAAGGGGAGAGGAGACAGAGACAGTGACAGAGAGACAGTGACAGAGAGACAGTCAGAGTGAGACAAAGAGAGACAGAGAAAGTCAGCGGGTAGACAGAGAGAGGAGAGATAGAGAAACACAGAGAGACAGAGAGAGAGAGAGAGAGCACCCTCCTGTCTCTTCAAGTCTTCTTTGGACTCCAGTCTTTTGAGGCTTCTGGTTGGAGAGAGAAGATGGAAAATGCCACCCCCACTTCAGGTGACTGAAGTAAAAGACTCTGGGACTTATCTAACATGAGAGGAGTGGGCAGTCTCCATCATGTCTCTATCCCCAGTCTGATTTCAGACCCTTGAGGGAACTTCCCCTTGGATGAGATCTGAAACTCTCTCTTGAATAGAATTACTTCACGATGGGAGAGCTCCTTCACTCTGTATTGTCCGGTATTATCAATCTGGATAAATAGGTCTCTTTGCTAATGGCAATGTATGTTCATTTTGGAACTGTTATTTGATGGGGAGTTGAACCTTGCATTTATAGCTTGGGGCATCCTTTCTCCTTTAATGATTAGCTATCAGAAGTTTAACTTGAACATTACATTTCCCAAACTAAGAATACTAAACGAAGCAAACATAAATTCTAGCCCGGTACCCCTCTCTGAGGAGAGTAGAGTGGCCAAGCTTCTGGCACCAAACTCCTGTTTCCTTTCTTGGCAGGAAATGAAGTCTCCCTTGGAGGAGGGTGATGGGAAAAGAGGCTAGAGATGTTGACTGTGCCTCCCTTCGAGACACACAATGACATCCCCATGCTACATGTGCAAGGGACAGCCCTAACTACACTTTGAACTAATATATTTTGTAGTTGATTAGTAAAAAGAAACACAACAGTAGAGGCCCATGATTTGAATGGCTGTGCCTAAGATCTAGGGTAGATTTCAGTAGATTGTAGAATGTGGAATCACCTGAAGAGAGATTAGAATTGATGTCTTAGGACAAAAGGATATAGTGGCTCTGAACTGGATCTCTCCCCATCTCTATGTCTCTTTCCTTCCTCAAATCCTTTCTGAGTCTCTAAAAGGGACAGGGCCCCATATGCAAGGGAGAACAGAGCTGGAAGGAAGCAAGCCATGGATTCAGGGGGAATGATGATTTCTAGAGAGCATTTCCCAAGAATTATTCTCATCCCCAAGTGGTTCAGACTAGAATAGCCATTTTACTCCCCAAAGTCTGGGTTTCTCAGGATCATAGATTCAAATCTGTAAGAGCCCTTCAACAGCATCGAATCCAACCCTTTCTTTTCAAAGTTGAGGAAACTGAGACCCAGAGAGATTTTTACTTGCCCAAGGTAACTAACAGGCAGTGACGAAGTCAGGATTTGAACACAGGTCCTCTCACTTCAAATCTAGTGATTCTTTCTCTCATATCATTCTGCTTCAGCATAATCAAGACCAATGGAGGCCACTGCCAGTCATCTTGACTTACGGCTTGCCACTGGACTCCGGTGACTGAGGAAGACAGAGTGAGGCTGATAACTTGGCACAGCTCTGCCTCATTTAAATCCAATCCACTTACAAGTCAAGACATCACCTTCCTGGTGTCCTCTTTGAGAATGAAAGATGAACCAGCACCAACACAAACTCAGCACCCACAAGGAGGAAACAATGTGATACTACCAACTATCAGCATGCTGGAAATCAGGAGACCTGCGTTGTATACTCAGCTGTGCCGCTGACTCACCTGCGTCACCTTTGACAAGTCACCTCACTTGGGCCTCTGTTCCCTGCTCTATGAGATTGGACTAGAAGGTCTCTATTCTAGCCCTCTGCATAAATTTGATGATCTTGGCTTGCTCTTCAAATCCTTTGGTCCGGTCCCCAAGTCCAGTGCACGTCCATAGATGTGCAGTGCCTCCTATCCAGTGCATGTCCATGGATGTGCAAGGCACAAACCCTGACTCCACATGGGGAAATCTGGGAAGTGATCTAAATCTCCAAAAGAAGAAAACTAGATTCTGGAAGACATAAGGTAATTTGTCCAAAAGGGTGTATCTGGGAGCTGAGGGAGGGCATAGAGGGAGGAGATGAATTCTTGTCTTTGAATTTCTGAGTGACCTGGGAACCACTGCAGTTTCTAGTTTTTCATGGAGAAAATAACACGATTGCAGACTTACTTAGAAAGCACCGGAAAGGCCATTTTTGACCAACAGATGAGATGATGTGACTTGCCCATGGTCACACACAGTGACAGATCTGGGACTGGAACCCACGTTCTCTGTACCCCACTCAGGCCTACAATCACCTAAATATCGGGGGGGAGGGCCGACATTTGAACCAATGCTCTTTGTATTTCGTGCTAATGAGGAAAATGTTTAGGAGGATGACACATGTGTTGTTCTTCCCTGGGGACTTGGGTCAGCCAAGGTGACTTCTGGGAGGCCCTTTGGAGCTCTGATTTGCAACAAATGTTGCCTCTTCTCAAGCATCCCCACCCCACTTTCTTTGTTGTTTTTTTTTTCTCTTTCTCTCCCATATGACATTTATTGGTTTCTCCTTAACTGGCATCCTCTTCATTAAAGTAGGAATTGGTTGTATGGCAGGAAGAGTGCCGAGTGCCAAAGTCCTGAGGGCACTGCAGGCTGACAATGACCTTGCAGGCCTGAATCTGAACCTCCTCCTCAGGATGAATGACCAGAGCCAGCAGCCGGTCAGCCAGGCGGGACTCCTCCCCAAAGAGCGCTTCATGCAAAGATTGTTCGTTGTACTGCCAGTTCACCGCTCGGTAATGGGGACAACTCCGACCCTCACTCAGTCGCTCTGCAAACACTAGCACCTCGAACAGCAGGCTCCCAGGTTGCATGGACTGGAATAGGTTCAGGAAATTGCAATGTACCTAATGGGGTGGGGTGGGGTGGGGCGGGTGGGAAGGAACAGTTAGAGAGAAGGGCAAAGAATTAGTCATATTTCTATAGCCTCTGAATATTTACAAAAGACTTTCCTCATGATAAAGCATTATGAGGTAAGCAGAACAGGTTTTACCATTTTACAGGTAAAGAAACTGAGGCTCAGAGGAGACAAGTGGCTTGCCCAGAGTCAAACAGCTTAGAATCAGGATCAAAACTCAATTTGCCTGACTCCAAGTTGGGCAGTAGTTTCACTATGCCATCTCACTACCAACTCCCTTATTCAGGTGACTCCTCTAAGTCTACCCCACTTCAAGGCAGCTATGTGTCAAAGTGGATTGAATGCTAGCACTGAGGTCAGGAAGACTGGAGTTCCAATCCAACCTCAGATGCGTACTAGTTGGGTGACCTTGGGTAAGTCACTTAACCTCTGCTTGCCTCAGTTTCCTTATCATTGCTAATATGGAAATGTTTCACATGACTGAGCATGTATAATCTATATCAAATTGCTTGCCTCCTCAAGGACGGGGAAGAGGAGGGAGAGAATATATAATATATAAAATATTATATAATTGTATATATTCTATGATATTATAAATTATTTTTATAAAATATTATATAATCGTATATATTCTATGATATTATAAATTATTTTTATAAATATTATATAATCGTATATATTCTATGATATTATAAATTATTTTTATAAAATATTATATAATCGTATATATTCTATGATATTATAAATTATTTTTATAAAATATTATATAATCGTATATATTCTATGATATTATAAATTATTTTTATAAAATATTATATAATCGTATATATTCTATGATATTATAAATTATTTTTATAAAATATTATATCATATAGAACTCAAAAAATTTTTTAAAGAATTTTGAAATTTTATGTTTACATATAATTGGTAGAAGATTAAAATAAAAATCAAGTAAGTCTATTGTCTCTTCCCTTACTCATCCCCACAGAGTTTAGCTATGGGAGGGACAGCATTGGGGGCTACCTCTTTTTTCAGTCAAACCTCCAAAGTTTTATGTCTTCAGTGACAACTTCTTGTAAACAAGGCCACTTCTCCTTCCTCTTCAGGATGGTTTTAGTTGCTATGCATCATGAGGGGAGGAGGATGGACAAGATGATCTGTTCAAGCTTTTCCCACACCCTGAGAATCTACAGTCCACCAGCCCCCCTACCTCTCCCCATCCCCACCCCCACCCCCTTTGGTCCCCTTTCCCTCCCAATCCCCTGAATGCCAAAGTACAGTTATACCCTTAGCAATTCATTATTATGAAATTTTAGAAGCAGACCTAGAGAGGAAAAATGCAGAAGAGAGCAAATTGGTTTGAGTATCTTGGCATTAGAAATTTACTTAGAAATCAGGGCAAGAAAATCATTACTGAAATTGGGTGTCCAGTAAGTAAAAGGCAGTGGGTCAGTTATTCTGTTGCTGGACACACAGGTAGCATGGGCCCGTCTCCAGTTGTCCTGATCTATATCTGGCCACTGGACCCAGATGGCTCTGGAGGAGAGAGTGAGGCTGGTGACTTTGCACAGCCCTCCCTCACTGTAATCCAATTCACTTGCAAATCAAGGCATTCTCCTCCTGAGGTCAGTGGTCCTCTTCAGGAATAGAGGACAGCAGCAACAACCACCCTGTCTCCTTCAACCTCACGCCTTGCCCCGCTCCCCTATGAGAGGGAGAGTAGACTTACCTGGCAATTGAGGATGTCATACAATAGGTCGTTTTTCTGGGCCAGATGACTCAGGAGTCGAACTGCTTGGACCTGAAGGGGGAGGGGAGAATATCAACAGTGGATAGAGCGCTGAACCTCGAGTCAGGAAGCCCTGAGTTCAAATCCTGTCTCAGATACTCACTGGCTGTGTGACCCTGGGCAAGCCACTTAACCTCTTCATGCCTCAGTTTCCTCATCTGTAAAATGGGAATAATAATAGCACCTACCTTACAGGGTTGTTGTGAGGATAAGAGGAGATATTTGCAAAGTGCTTTGCAAACATTAAAGCACTATATAAATGCTAGCTATTATTATCATAATAGAATCATTGATTTGGACCCGGAAAGGACCTCAGAGTCCATTTAATCCAAATCTCTCATTTTACAGATGAGGAAAATAAGGCTCAAAGAGTTTTAAGTGGTTTGCCCAAGTTTACAGAGCTAGTGACAAGATACAATTGTGGACCCAGGTCCTCTTAATTTCAAAGCCAGTGCTCTGAGAAAGGGAGCTGGGCTGGAGTGTGAGATTCGGGGTTGTGGGGTGGGCAGAGGGAACTGGGGCAAGCAAAAGGAGACGTGACTCAGTTTACCATTGATGGAAAGGCTGCAAGGTAGGTGGGGACTGTGTCACAAGTAAGTGCCCATCTATGTGTGTTGGAGGGGAGGGGCTGGCTGTTGGAGGATGGCACCATTCATGACTGTCACTGAGGTGGTCCTCGGGTACCTGAGCCAGGATGCTGTCTGTCTGCAAGATCTCCATGAGGGAAGGCATCACCCGACGGAGCTGTGGGTGAGCAAAGTCAGGCAGGGGCAATCCATTGAGTAGCCTCAAGCCCGCTATGTGCAGCTCAGAATCCCACACGGTGGAGATCAGCTCCAAGACTTTGATGGAATGCTCCTGGGGAAGACAAAGAAAGAGGAGTCTGACTCTGAGATCAGATCTTCCACCCCTTGATGCCCTCAATGCTTTCCCTCCCTGAGGTGCTTAGGAACAGCCAATCTACCAGTCTCCTCTAAGTTGAGTCTAGTGGGACCAAAATGCCTAGGTTAGGACGTATTGCTGAGAAAGGCAAGACTAAGGCAAAACAACAGAAACTAGGTGAGAAGGGAGCTAAGGCCCAAACGGGTGAGCAACCCCCACTGGGGTCTTCATTCCTAATCTCCCATGCAGGGGGAGAACTTAACATTTAAAACATTAAAAAATTTAAAAAATAAATGTTAAAAAATGTACATGTAATTGGAAAATATTTAACAAAATAAGAATCTATTTTAAAATAGAATTCATAGTCTAAAATGGAGTATAATGACACAGACCACTTAAATCAATAAAGAGTTATTTATTGGGTGATCATATGCACAACGGTGGAGGAATACTAAGGTCTATAAGATAGTCCCAGTCTAACAGTCTAACATATACATGAAGCCAATCACAGCCCAAAGCAATGCACTCTAAGTGGCAAATGTGAATACAGTCCCTAAGGTCCTCAGAGGGATCAATACGGGCTGGAGTGGGCAGAAAAATGACATTTAGGCTGGTGCTTGAAAGATGAGTAGGAAAAAGAGGATCATAGATCTACAAACATCAATTAGCCCTTCATTTTCTAGCTAAGAAGCTGGGGCCCGGGTGGTTAAATGACTTGCCCAAGGTCACACAGCCGGTAAGAGGCAAGATCTGAAGCAGGTCATCTATCTCCTGAGTCTTTCCATTGTATCACCTTGCCCCTCTAGATAGCTGATCAGAGAACAAGCAGTTCACCCCTGCGAGCCACAACCAGATTTTGGATCCAGACGTGTGTAATCTCATTGGTAAAAGCAATTCCCCTTGAGAAAAATCCCCCTACCAATGCAAAAGGGCAGGTATTTGGTCTCAGTGAGTTGCCTGGGGGCACTTAGAGGTTAAGTGATTTGCTCAGGGTCACACATGGGCAGTATGTGTCAGAGGTGGGACTAGAACCCAAGTATTCCTGAAACTAAAGTCAGCTCTCTAGCCATTAGTCCACACTCACTGCCAAATTAATCTTCCTGTTTTCATCCTGACTTGCCTGCTCAAAAAGTCAGCAAAATGCCCCAGTCCTATCAGGATAAAATCTAAACTCATCAGCCTGGCATTCAAAGCCCAGAAAACTTTGTGCCCTTCTCTATAAACACCTGTTCAGTATTTTCAGTCTCTTCATGACCCCATTTGGGGTTTTCTTAGCAAAGATGCTAGAGCAGTTTGCCATTTCCTTCTCCAGCTCCTTTTACAGATGAGGAAACTGAGGAAAACAGGGTTAAGTGACTTGTCCAGAGTCACCCACCTAATAAGTCTCTGAGGCCCAGATTTGAACTCAAGAAAACTGGGCTTATTAATGGAATTCTGTACAAAGATGTACATTAAAAAGTCATTAGTCTACACAAAAGCATGTACTGGATGTAAATACGATTCATGTTTACTGCTTTTTAAAGAAATTACACCCTTTATCTTTAAATGGGATTGCCTCCCCCATTTCCTAGTCCTCCCTCACCCCAACCCCTTAACCCATACTTGGGGTGAAAAGGGGAGGCTCTTAGAAACTCTGATTTCTACAGTTCGGGAGAGCTTTGCCATACATATATGTATTAGACAGATACATACATACATACACACATACATACATACATACTATATACATGCACATATATATGTACACATATCATATGTATACATATAATTTTTTTAAACATGGGAGGCCAAAAGGACCTGCATTATAAAGTAACCAATATGCAAAAGAATATGCACAATTCAATAAGGATGTAATTAAATTCAATTTTTTGTCTTATCTTTTGCATAACTATATACTCTTATTTCATAATGTGCCTTGCTCCCTAATTGTGTGAAAATACAAAGAAATATATTCAGTACTACAGAAAATGTTTTCATTATACTGCTGGATGAAGTTATTTTACTGAGTCACCCTCTTGCCAATTATCATTAGTAAACTATTGTAATGGCTCAGGGTGGTGGTCTAAGGGCAGAGTAAATTTTATTTCATTTACATGTTTCCATTATGGAAGTTTACTAAAACCTTAATAAAATATCGGCTTCCTCTAAAAAAAAAAAAAAAAGATTAGGCTTCCTGCCTCTAGGCTTGGCACTCTATCCCTACCTTTTGATGTATATAGGCGCTGCTATTTGGACCTCTCACCCACCTCTCCATCTCCACCAGCAAAGTTACCATCCCTATCATGGTGGTCCTTATTCATCCTCCCTAAACATATACCTCTCTAGTTCTAGGAATCAAAAGAGCTGGGTTCCAATCCTGGCTTTGACACGAATTCACTGAGTGTCCTTAGCCAAATCAATGCAACATTTGCCTCAGCTTCCTCACATGTATAATGAAGAATATGGAGTAGATGGTCCTGAAAGTCTCTTCCAGCTCAGACATTCTGTGACTTTGTTCAGTCCCCTACTCCCTGAATGTTTCCTTCCCATCCCCTCTGTTTGTCCACATCTTAACCATCCCTTCAAGTTCTTTTTTTGTTTTTGTTTTTTGGGTGAGGCAATTGGGGTTAAGTGACTTGCCCAGGGTCACACAGCTAGTGAATGTTATGTGTCCGAGGCCAGAATTGAACTCAGGTCTTCCTGACTCCAGGGCGGTACTCTATCCACTGCGCCACCTCCCTGCCCCATCCCTTCAAGTTCTTACCCACATCCACCAAGGCTCCCTTGAGTACACCAGCCCATTCTGATCTGATTCTTCTCTGAACTCCCCTACCACACACAATAGATACTGATCAATCAGCTGGCATTTAAATGAGAGCATTCTGGTTCCCAGCCTGTCAGCAGAAGCCCTGTAAGGGCCTTGGAATTTTTGCAATGGGTCGGATAATTCCTATGTTTTGATATTGTAAACTTATTTTAATGTCCAGAAAGCACACCCTGTGCCTTAGAATGATAAATAAGCAAACATACCTTTTGTAGGTGGAGTAAATAATACACAAACACATGTATTTATGGCAGCTAGGTGGCACAATGGATAGAGTGCCTAGGCCTGGAGTCAGGAAGCCTCATTTTCCTGAGTTCAAATATGGCCTCAGACATTTACTAGCTATGTGATCCTGTGCAAGTCACTTAACCCTGTTTGCCGAGCTGGAGAAGGATATGGTAAACTACTCCAGTATCTTTGCCAAGAAAACCCCAAATGGGGTCATGAAGGGTCAGGGACAACTGAGACAACTGAACAACGAAAAATGCATGGACGTTTTTCAACATATGTACAGACTGCTGAGGTAAGTAAAATTCAAATGAATTTAAAAGTACTGAGAGGCAGGTGTGGTATAATGGAAAGTGCTATAATTGCAGCATAATTTCTCTTTGTAATCAAGAGAAAATAGATTTGAATCCTAGCCAGGCTACTTACTGGTTGTGTGACGTTGGGCAAGTTACTTAAACTGCTGATCGTCTCAGTTTCCTTATCTGTACTAAGGTCCCTACCAGCTCTAAACATATATGTCATTTAACCTCTCTGGGGCTCAGTCTCCTCATCTATATAGTAAGGGAGTTGGACTTGATGGTCTCATTACTGAATCTATAGCATCTTTTTGCCATTAAGTATTTTCTCAATTAATGGATACCACTATAATGGGTAGGGCAGCTCGATGGCTCAGTGGGTAGAGTGCTATGCCTGGAGTCAGGAAGTCTTATCTTCCTGAGTTCAAATGTGACCTCATACACTTACTAGCTGTGTGACCTTGTGTGAATCACTTAACTCTGTTTGCCTCAGTTTCCTTATCTGTAAAATGAGATAGAGAAGGAAATGGCAAACACTCTAGTATCTTTGCCAAGAAAACCCCAACTAGGGTCACCAAGAGTTGGACACGACTGAAACAACAGAACTGAACTGTCACGAGTAGGGCATGTGAAAGATTTCTACAATACTGCAAAAGATTGAAGACCACTTATCCAGGGCTTCTTATTTATTGTTCTATGTTTCATTACCCTATATCCCGTCTCCCCTAAGTGCTCTTAGCGAAAAAACTGTCTTAGATTTCCTTTATGTTTTTCACAGGCCCTCACACAATGCTAAGCATACATGCAGGCTGGAAAAATACTTGTTGAACTGAACTTAATATCCTGGAGACAGTTAAAAAATGCTTGACTTAAGCATGACTCATACATATGTCTGGAACAACTCCCAGGCCCCCAGTCCTGTTGCCAATCTACCCTCACCATCCATTTTGCCATTTGGAACCCTCAACCAGCCCTCCATCCCCACCAGCAAAGTCACCGTCCCCATCATGACGGTCCTTATCCATCCTCCCTGAATGTTACCATGGGAGGCTCTGACCAGCCCAGGTTCCAGGGCCTAGGGAACTCAGAGCTTTTATTAGGGCTACAAAGCTTTTTACTACAGGTAAAGGGGTGGACTGCCCATGTATATCCGTAGTGTTTAAACAAGCCAGGCATCCAAGCTTTCAGATTTAAAGCCTCTCTTGCCTTCTTCATCCTCCCCAAGACTGCCCCTCTATCACTTGCCCCTGGGTTCACCTGGATCTTAAGCCTGAACTTCCTTATACCAGAGAAAGCCTTCAGAGCATTGAGAGCTTGGATTTTGACGCTGTTGTCCTTGTCATCAAGCAGGCAGCCCACCAGCCTGATGTCCTCAAAGGTGCAGGTACAGGCCTGTAGGGGTCAAAGGTGGGAGGGACATGGAAGAAGGAGGGGAGAAAAGAGCACCCACGATAGCCACTCCCTTCCGGAGCCCTGCCCCTCATCTCCTGCCACTCAAAGGGGAGGGAAGGGTTCTTGTGGCTCTTAACCTCCGCCCCCATCACCTTGGTTTCCTGGGATGTGGTCCCAGTTGGTATCCTTGCAATGGCCAGGACGTCAGGGGCCACTGAGGCTCCTGGCCCCACCCACTCCCAGACAGCCAGGTTGAGGGCTCTCTCCCTCCCTCCTGCTCTCTCCCTCTGCCCATCCCCTCCCTGGGCCGCTCCTCACTTCGGCTTCCAACAAGTAGACACACCGGGTGATGCTGTGAAGAATCATGCCCTTGGAGTACTCATCATGTTTGTGTTCCAGGGAGTTGAGGAGCCTTCGAAGCTCTCCAGAATCCTTTCCATGCCACTCTCGCTCAATGGCCAGGCCTAGGCAGCCCCGCCCCACCCCCAGCCCCAGGCCTTAGGATGAGTGAGGGAGTGAAGAGTGACCAAGGAAGGGGGCATTGCACCTGGGATCTGGGCATAATGGGGGAAGCCCTGGCTTTTCTGGTAGAGGAAGCTCCTCTTCAATGTCTGCCCCAGAGCCTACAGACAACACAGGGGAGGGTGCGAGCAGAGAGGCTCCTGAGCAGCTGCTGATGCCAAATTTAATCCACTCTCCATCAGAAAGCTCACTAAAGCTCAAACTGGGCAGAGGGGGGAGGGCGGCACATATTAGGTGGCAACCAGTTTGGAGACCTACCAGGTCATGCTTTGAGATCTCCTGGTTGATTTGGCTCTAGTTGGGGACCCCTGCCCAGCCCTTCCTATGTCAACTTGTGCCTAGGGGGCTGCAGGGTAGATGCCAGCAAAGAAGAGGAGAGGAGAGAGAGGCAGAAGATGGGAGCTTGGAGGAGTCACCTTGGTGACCTCCCTCTGTAGGAGTCGGTTGTGTTTGAAGGTTCCCCTTGGGACACAGCCCTCTCCCAGGAGCCCTGAGAACTCACGGGCAATGCAGACGGGTGACGTTGGGCAGGATGAACGACTGCTCATGCCAGCCTTGATGGCCTTGTACAGCAGGTAGATGGCACCTGCCCCTGTGGCCAGGCCCACCACACCCTTTCGGAGTCTAAAGTCCTTGAAATCCATGCTTCCCAGCTCCCCCTCAGGTGGGGAGCTTGGACCCCAGGCACCCCAGGCAGAGGCTTCCGGAACTGGAACCTCCAGTGAAACCCAGAACTCAGGGAGCCGAAATCAGAACCTGGAATTCAGGAAACAAAGGGAACTAGGGGAAGGACTCTGCCTCCCCCTTGGTGAGTGGGCAAGAAATCTGGGCATAGAGATGAGGGAAACAAAAGGGCTAGGAGAAAGTGGGGGGAACCATGGGGTGGGGGAAAAGGAGAGGAGTAGTGGGGTCAGCTAGGATCCAGTGGACTAAATAGACCCATGGAAATCTTAAAGACACATACTGACTCCCCCTTGTATGACCCTGGACAAGTAATTTTCCTTTCCAGGACCTCAGTTTCCTTCTCTGTAAAATAAGGGATGTAAAGTAGATGATCTCTATCCAGGTCCTGATATCAATCTCTTTTCCTTTTAGAAGTTGATAGGGCCTTAGCCAGGTCATTCTTGCAGATCCACTGCCACTAGAGGGCAGCAGAGTCCCATCAGCTCTTGATTGTCCTCGTGGGCTACTCACACCCAGGAGATCCACCCGGGTGGGGGGAGACAGACCGTGGGCACGACGCAGGGAGGGAGCCCCCAGACCACTCCTGGCTTCCTTCAGTTCAGTCTTTCCATTTTGTCCTTCCCTTCTCTCCTCCCCAGCCCGCCATTGTCGCACAGTGGAAGAAGAGGCCCTCTCCCAGAGTGTTTAGGAAGGGGAGAGGAAGAGAGAGAAGAGTTAGCTGGGGAGCACTGGGTGAAGTTCGGTCTGAGGGCCACCCATTTAAACTTGAGCCGGTCTCTCCCATTAGGGCAGTATGAGGGGGGAAAGGAGCAGCTCTGAGCATCCCTAACCCAAGGACCAACCGCCTAAACGGAGGCTGCTGAGGGAGGGCAGAGGAGAGAGTGATCACAGGAGCAGAGATTTAGAGCTCGAAGGTACCTTAGAGGTCCTTTAGTCCAACCCCCTCAATTATAGAGGAAGACACTGAGGGCCAAAGAGGTTAAACGTGGCTATGATTTACATAGGTTTGCAAGAGCATCTAGGTGGCACAGCAGATAAGAGAGCCAGGCCTGGAGTCAGGAAGAACTGAATTCAAATCCAGCCTTAAGACACTTACTAGCTGTGGCACCCTGTGGGCAAGTCACTTAACCCTGTTTGCCTCAGTTTCCTCATCTGTAAATGAACTGGGGAAAGAAATGACAAACCACTCCAGTATCTTTGTCAAAAGAAAAAAACAAACCCAAATGGGGTCAAGAAGAGTCAAAAAGAACTGAACAACAACAATAGATGTGCAAGGCATTGTGCATGTTTTCCTCACAGCAGCACTGTGAGGTAGGTGCTATTATCCCCATTTTACAGATGAGAAAAACTGAGGTTAAGAGAGGTTAGGTGATTTGCCCAGGGTTATACAATCAGGAAGCATCTGAAATTTGAACTCAGCTCTTCCTAATTCCAGGTCCACCACTCTCTCCACTACAATACCAAGGTTCAGTGGCCTGCCCTAGGTCAAACCAGTTGTTAGCAGTTGTAAACCAGTGGGATAGACCACACTGACCGGGCTGAGTCAAGTCAGCCCCAGTCTTCCAACGTAATTCTCACTGCCATCCAGTAAAGAATCAAAAAATCTCCAGGAGATCTCACTCTCCAAGTCCTAGCCAACAAATGTTTATTAAGTACCTGCTATTGTGTAAGACACTTGTCAGACAGAGATTGTTCTGTTGTTCAGTCATTTCATCTTCATGACCCCATTTGGGGTTTTCTTGCCAGAGACACTGGAGTGGTTTGCCATTTCCTTCCTTCTCCAGATCATTTTACAGATGAGGAAACCAAGACAATTAAGTGACTTGCCCAGGGTCACACAGCTAGTGAGTGTCAGAGGCTGGATTTGAAGTTGGGGAGATAAGTCTTCCCGACTCCAGGCACTGGCACTCTACCCACCCATACCTCCTAGACAGGAGATAGAAAATCAAAATTAAAAATCTCCCCTGCCCTCCAGGAGCTCACATTTTACCAGGGAGGAACAACACAGGATCGTAGATTATAAACTGGCAGGGGACCTTAGAGGCCATGTGGTCCAATCCCCTCATTACATAGATAAGAAAACTGAGGCTTAGAGAGAAGTGATCTACCCAAGGTCACATAGCTGGCGAATGGGATCTGAACGCAAGTCTTCTGTCACCAAATCTAGAATATATTCCACTGTGCTACTCTGCATGGGCACTTCCAAACAGATGAGGATTTGAGGGAAGGGGCAGTAGTACTAGGGGGGATCAAGAAAGGTCCCCCCTAGAAGACAGCTCCTGAGCTGAGCCTTGAGGTCGGTTAGAGATGCTGGGAGCCTGAAGTGAAGAGGGAGGGCATTCCAGGCCAGGGGACAGCCTGTGCAAAGTCATGGAGGGGGTAGATGGACTGCCAAGTTCAGGGAACAGAATGTAGGCCAATTTGGCTGGAACATAGCGTCCATGAAGGGGAATAACATGCACTAAGCCTGGAAAGGTAGGCTGGAGCCAGACTGTGAAGAGCTTTAAAGTCTTCTGTGTTACAAGGAAGGCTCAGAGCCTCGGGTGGACAGTAACACACTGTTCCTGAAATTTTCAAATGCAGTCCAATTCTGTCTCCTCCACCCTACACCCCAATGTCCCTGGGATTCCCACATTCCCACCCACTTCTCCCTCCCCTGACCCCCACTTCCTTTTTTTTCCCTGTTGGCTAACCACTAGGCAGAGACTCTGGGAAGTAGCCAGTGAGGGAAAAGGGGCAAATGCCTAAGGCCCATATAAATATTTATCAGCAATTACCCCCATAAACCCGATGGTTTCCACCCCCTCCACATCACCAGAGTAAAAGGAAGGATCTTTTTTTTTTATCCCTTCAGGATATTCTTATGGGACTTCTTTTCCCCTTCATCTGCATTTTAACCAGACTTCATTTGTATTTCCAATATAATCAAAGCACTTTCCCCATGACAGTCTTGTGAGGTAGGAAGCTGGTATTATTATACCCATTTCACAGAGGAGGAAACTGACGCCCAGGCAGGAGAAGTAATTCAGGCAAAGCCAGATAGCTTAGTACCTGGCACACAACGAAAACGACAACAAAACGCTTAATAAATGCTTGTTGACGGATTGAATTGGAAGCAAGATTAGAACCCAGGCTCTCTAACCCCAAATCCAGAGTTCTTTGCAGTATACCACTGTTGCATAAAATTAGAATTTGTTGTGTGGTGGGAGTCCTTCTCCCCCTTCAGGAATGTCCCTGACTGGAAGACTCTTTACAGCAGTCAGCCTTCTGTTCTCTGAACCTATCTCTTTTTATTGGGTCATGTCCATGCCTCTGCTCAGAACCCTATACACCTTTAACATTGGGGAGCCCAGAAGAAGAACCTTGAACTGTGAGATTCTAAGGCAACTCAGCCAGACAGAAAAGTAACCACACAGCTCCTCCAAATCAGGCTCCCATAAAGCCTAATTGGGTCTGTTTTTCTTTTGAACAGCCCCACCAGCACATACCTAGATTATGACCCTCTTTGTCTGCGACATCCTTTTCTGTATTCCTTGTGCCTTAACCCAAATCCAATCTCCAAACCTCATATTTTCATAATTATCTCTGGCAGCTAGCTGTCCGATTCAGTCAATCAATGAATCAACTGATTTTGATAGATAGCAAGGCATTGTGCTAGGTATTATAGCGGCTGAAATCCATTGGGGCCGGAGTAGAATAAAGTTAGGGAGAATTAACCAATTTATTGGTTAGGATAGTGGAGTCAGAAGACCTAGGTTGCAATCCATCTCCAAAGCTTACTACTACCCTGTCAATCTTTGAAAGCGGCTTAATTTTGCTAAAACTTAGTTTCACCTGTGGAATGGGTACAATGGCATATTCTATTTCAGCCTCAGATATCAAAGATCAGAGTTATAAAGCTGAAAGAGACCTTGGAGGTCATCGAGTCTAACCGCCTCCTTTTACAGATCAGGAAACTGAGACTCGCCCAGGGTCAGGAGTAATAAGCAGCAGAGCCAGATTACCAGCTGGCACATGCCCTTCAACTCAACAACCCCCTTTGCCAGGGAGCCCAGACTTTGAAGCCTGCCTTCGAGCTTTTTCTCCTCGCAGGGGAAGGAGGCGGCAGGACGGGGAAACCGGGAGAAGGCAGCAAGGACTGGGAGCCGCAGGGGATTGGGGAGCCAGCGCAGAAGTGGGGGGTAGGAGCCTCCAGTAAGCGCAGAGCGCAGGGCGTGGTGTGCAGTGTGGGGATGGGGCTGGGGGTGGGGGCGGCCTTCGAGGGGCATCTCCGGGGCCGCCCGCCTTCCACTCCCTGCCCCGGGTGGCCGCGGCCCCCCGGCCCCCTCCATCGCTCAGTCGCCGCCATCCCCCAGTCTCTGTCTACCTCCGCCTCCGCGCCCCCTCCTCCCTCCAGCGCTGTATCCGGCGACGGGCACAGGATGTTCTGTCTCTCTCCGCTCACCACCCCCCCTCCCGCCCCCGCGCTCACACTTTCTCTTTCGTCCCCTCCGCCTTCCCCCCATTCACTGTGTCCCATCCCCCTCGCCTAGCTCCTTCACCTTGTTTAACTCCTTCCACTCTGCCCTGCATCCCCTCGGGAGGAATGTGTTCAGGGGCCCGGGGTGGAAGTGGGGGAAAGGGAGCCAGGCGGGCAGGGCACCCCTCCCTCCCATCCGCACACACCCCACTCCCACTCCCAGTCGGCCCGGCTCGGAGGCCCGAGGGGGAAACTCGAGTGGCCCCAGTGCTAGGGCGTGTGCGGGGTGTGTCGCCCAGGAGTGTAGCTCTACCTCAATTAGGACCGGGGTTTGGAGAATGGTTTCTGTGGTTAGGGTGCTTCAGGGACAGTTTGGTTGCAGCAAGCCTGCAGACCTGGAGAGTGGAAGTGGGGGTAGGAGGGGCGTGGAAGGGTCACCAAATCCAGTCTCCCCACGAATACAGCTCTACCCACCGCACGCCCGCCTCAGTTTTCATAGGTTCATTGGATTTAGACCTAGTTGAGAGTTTAGAAATTTTCATTTCAGGAAACTGAGGCCCCTGGAGGGTGAAGTGGCTTGCTTCAGGAAGCAAAAAAAAAAAAAATGGAATCTATATTTCGGGTTACATACAGTTATCCTGACTACAAAACGTTACCTCATTTGTTCTCACAACACTTCTGTGAAACGGGTACTGTAGGTTTTAATATTCCCATTTTACAGATGAGGAAACGGAGGCAAGAAGCAATCACAACTCTGCCGGCAGAGACAGTATTTCAACCCAGGCTTTGTTTCCAGATTGAGAAGTCTTTCCACCACCACAGCTGCTGTGGCTGGGGCATCCTACACCACTGTGTGATTGATCAGGAACCAAGGAAGGGGCCCTTAAGCAGGCTGCTCCAGGGCCAGCTGAGGAGGAAGCGCAGCAGACCACCCCCACCCTCAGCGTCTGAAGTGAGTGACCGGGGAGAGGCTGACGTGAGGTGGGGAAAGGAACTTTCTTAGAAAGGGAGGATGGAGAAAGGTCCCACCCCTCCTTCTGACCTCACTGTTGTCACGGCAACCTCTAGAGGGTGGGGGTAGGGGACCTAGAGTGGAAAGTGGGAGGGAATCCAGGGTAAGAAGAGAGGCTGGAAGTCCCAAGTTGGAGGACACCTTTTTCCTGCACTTTTCTATTCATTACTGTTGTGGGGATATTGAGGCAGAGACTGAGTCCTGGGGAAGGTTAACCTGGGAATCAGATCCCAGAAGTCCATGTCACCATTGTAAGGGATCAGATTACTGTTGGAGGAAGGGGTAAGCGATTTGTTGTGCCCCTCCCTCTGTAACTCCTAGGCAGAGCTTTTCTGTCCAAGAAGAGAGATAGAGAATAAGGGCAACTTCCACCAGGAACTGAGGCCAGTGGGAACAGGGTTCAAGATGGTCTTCAGGACTCTGAAGGTCACAATGAGGGGGTCTGATTTGGTCCTGTCTGTACTGAGACTGCTGGAGGAGGAGAGGAGGGTCAAGAGGCTGACTCACAAACGTTTTTTTTCCTTCCCAAGGCCCTTGGGAGGCCTGTGTGTATCAGTCAGGGTGGTGTGTTTCTCTCTGTCCGAGAATGTATGGGAGGTGTTAGTAGTCTTTCCCAGCTACTAAAGACTGTAATCTTTCAAATCAGTCTTCATCCACTATCTGGTACTGAGCCTTGCCTTTAACAGTATCTGTGGAATGAGCACTTTCTTTGTGCTTAGCACCTCAGAGCTTATAGTCTAGTTGAGAGGGATGAAATACAGATAATGGGATAAAATTTGGTCCCAAGGAATCTAAAAGCTGTGATGAGGGCGGGGCCCAAGCCAAGATCTTCACCCTTTGCCCCAAAGGGAATCTGACTCACAGGCCCCAGACCCTCATCTCCCTTTGAAAGCCTTAGCCTTACCTTTTAATCTTATTCAGATGCGCCCTAAAAGAATCTGGCTCCCTTTTGTTTATAGGCCTCAGAAAGGCCTTCCTTTATCTCCTTTTGAAAGTCCTAGCCCCACCTTGATTTTGTGCAGATGCCTTTCAAACTTCTGCCTTCCTGTTCCCTCCATTATCTATTCCCATTGTCTATTCAATCTGTCAGACCTCCCCAATTAGAATTCTTACCTAGACCCTTTCCCCAACCCCCTTCTCTGGCCACACAATGTTAACTTTAGTATTTAAGATCCACCTTGGCCCTCATTCAGATGCTGAGAATCTCAGGCCCACAAGGCTACCTGGCCCTAAGTGTTTTATCACTAATAAACTTTTCCTCTGGCTGAAGAAGATTTGAGTTGAATTCTTTCAGGCAGGGCCCGGTACCGTGATCTTGGGGGTCCCAGCACCCCAAAACCCCTAGACCTCTTCAACTGTACTGAGCTGTGATAGTTTCCATTGATAGAAAGAAGAGAAAGAGTACTATATGGAGGGAGGAATTGGGTAGGACAAGCAGATCAGGATGTATCAATCAATAATATCAAAGCCTTACCTGGTACATCTCCAAGCTGGTTTCTGCTGCTATTCCTCATCGCTCCCCCCACCACAGTGCACCACAATCACTCCCCCCACCCCTACTTTGCTGGGATTCTCAATGGAGAGGATTATTGCTGGTATCCTGTCTCCCCAGTGGAGGGGACTTGACTGCCCCCTCTTAGCTCAGAGACTTCACTTTCAGTAGTTTTCCCTTACAAGGAGATGAAATCTGTTTCTCTGAAAATTTTACCCTTTGCTTCTAGCTCTGCCTTCTGGGGCAAGCAGATCTTCCACTTGACAGCCCTTCCAATATGGAAAGACAGTTATCATATCCCTTCCCCCAAGTCTCTTCTCCAGGCTAAACTTCATGAGTTCCTTCAACTGGTCCTCCCATGGCCTGGTTTCCAGTTCTGTCAACATCCTGGTCATCCTGTTTTGGATATGGTCCAGTTTGGTTTTGTTTTTCCTAAATATGCCTCCCAGAACTGAACACAAGACCTCAGATGTGGTCTGACCAAAGTCAAGGACAGTAAGACTATCACCTCCCCTGTTCAGAACACTGTGCCTCTCTCTTAATGCAGCCTGGGATCACGTTAGATGTTTTTGGCTGCCACATCATATTGTTGACTCATGTTGAGCTTACAGTTCTCTGACACCCCCAGATTTTTTCAAATGAACTGATGTCTAGCCATGCCTTTTTTATCCTGTACTTGGGCAGCTAGGTTTTTTTTAATCTAAGTGTAAGGGTATATGTGTGTGTGTGTGTGTGTGTGTTAAGTACCAACTATATGCTAGGAGTTGTGCTAAGCATTGGGGATACAAAAAAAGGCCAAATTAAAAAAAAAAAAGAGTCCCTGTTCTCAAGGAGCTCACAATCTTAATGAATAAGACAACATGCAAACAACCATGTACAAGTAGAATATCTATAGGATAAATTGGAGATAATCAACAGAGGGAAGGTATCATGAAAGGCTTCTTGTAGAAGGTGGGACTTTAGCTGAGACCTGAAGGAATCCAGGGAAGCAAGGAAGTGAACATGAGGAGGGGATTCCAGGCCTGGGGCCCAGCCAGTGAAAATGCCCACAGTGGAGAGATGGAACATTGTGTTCAAGATACAGGATGAAGTCTGTTATCACTGGAACACATAGTGTAGGGGGGAGGGGTGGTGGGGTGGAAGGTGTAAGAAGACTCTGGAGGGCTTTAAAAGCTAAACAAAAGGTTTTATATTTGATTCCTAGAGGCAATAATGAGCCACTGGAGTTGATTAAATAGTGGAAGGGTAGGGTGACATGATTGAGACTCGTATTTTAGGGGGATCAATTTGATCAAAAAGAACATTAGAGACATCTCTCCAGACTGACATCGATCGTTAATAACTTCTCTTTTGGTCAATTCAGCCAATTCTGAATCTATTTAGCTGTGTACCATCTACCCTCTTGCCCTCATCTCCCCAAATTCTCCCCATGTATATCATAAGATGCTTTGGTTATGATTTTTGAGACTTCTTGACCTTGAGGGGAAACTTATGAATGAGTGATGCCCTGAGAGAGACAGTATGTTACTGTAGGAAAAAAAAAAACTGACCCAGAAGTAAAGAGATTCAGTTTCTAACCCCAGCCCTGCAACTAATTCATTATGTGATCCTTAGTCTCCTCCCCTGCAAAATGAGATGATCTGGGGAGTCCCTTCTAGTTCTGTGATTCTGTGTTTGATTAGTTTCAGGACATTTAAGTGTTACAACCTCTTGCTTTTCAGCTACCCCTCTCTCCTACTTCAAGTAGCCACCTTTGTGTTAAGGGAATTAGAGAAGAAGGGACCTGAGAGTAGTGGTCAAGGTCAGAGTGAACCTTACTAGGTTCACCAGCTCACTGCGACCAAGTGCCAAATCAATAGTTGTGGCCAGACAAGGCCAGAGGACCCTTATGATGACCAGTAAGTCAAGATGGGGAAGAACCAGCTGTCCTGAGTTCTAGTTGTGGACCAGCAACCAGATCCACACTCCTATGACATGACAAGATTCTGACTCCAGAGGTGTCAGAGGTCGTTTATGACTGATGATGACTCATCCTAAGGGAAATGTGAATTGAACATTCTGTGGGAACTGTATGATTATAATCTTTCATCTCAAGGGAAGACTCACATCATATATGTCCTGAACTCTTGGATCCAGAGCAATCTTAAGTCTAGGGGACTTCCAGGATCTAGGAAAATGGCAGATTTGTAACTGCTTTATCATTATGCTTTGTCTCATTATTTATATGCTGTTTACTTTTTGATTCTGTGCTGAGGAAAAACACTGTAAGTAACCATTTAGGTTGTGTATTTATTTCCTTGGGGAACCAATTCCATCATGCCAAGATTGTGTGACTAGTCCTCTTTGAAATAAAGTGTGTTCAAAAGGAGACAGGGTTGGCCAGCAGCCAGGAACCTAAAATTAAATTCTGATTGGTAGATCCTCAAATACACACAGCCCTAGATGACAAATGTCACCACTCTGAAGAGAAATGACAGAACTGAAGATAGAAGGTCTCAGGGGGCTTTCTAATAACCATAAAGAAGGAAACACTTAGCACTTCTGCTCCAAAGAGGCATCTCAAATCTCCACCTGCCTTTCAGACATTTCATACAGAATGTCTGGTAGACGTCTTAAACTCAACATGTTCACAACTGAACTCATTATCTTTTCCCCTAAACCCTACTCTCCTCCTACTTTTCCTACTACTGTAGAAGGCATCTTCGTCCTCCTAGTCCTTCATGCTCCCAATTTAGGAGTCGTCCTCAACTCCTCACTCAATTCCTCACTATCTCTCACCCCCATCATCTGTTGTCAAAGCCTGTCAATTTCGCTTTTGCAACATCTCCGGAACCCATCTCTAACACTGCCACCGTTTTGGTACAAGTCCTCATCACCTCACTCCTGGCACTTCTTTAATAGCCTTCTGGTGGGTCTACCTTCCTCAAGTCTCTCCCCACTCCAATCCTTTCAGCCACTAAATTGATTTTCCGAAAGCTTAGGTTTGGCCAACTCAACCCTCCTACTCAATAAACTCCAGTGGCTCCCTATTGCCTCCAATATCAAATACAAAATGTTCTGTTTGTCATTCAAAGCCTTTCATGACCTAGCCCCATCCTACCTTTCTCTTACACTTCATTCCTTTATTCCTTCACACATACTCTTCCGTCTAATGCGTGGGCTTCCAGAATGTTCCACAAACACTCCCTCTCTCAGCTCCAGGAATTTTCTCCAACTGCCCCCCATATCTGGAACACTTTCCCTCCTCCACTTTGACTACTGAGATCCCTGACTTCATTTAAGTCATAACTAAAATCCCATTTTCTACAGGAAGCCTTCCCCAACTACTCTTAATTCCAGTGCCTTCTCTCTGTTAATTATTTCTTATTTATCCTGTATATAACTTGGTCAATATATGTTTATTTGCATGTTAGATTGTAACCCCCTTGAGGGCAAGGACTATCTTTTGCCTCTTTTAGTAT